TTGTGGGCACAGCATTCTGACTTGATCATTGTGGCTAGTCAATCTACAAGCATAATTCTCACATCGGATGCGAGAGAAGCCTTTTTCGTATCCTGGCCAAGCCTGATTAAAGTGTCATACCTCAGAGGAAAGTTGCGCTATCTCCTGTGCATTTTGATCTAGCGAGGTGGTACGATTGTGTGATTTTGGTTTTGATCAAAAGTAAAGTAAAAATCATGAAAAAATATAATATGTTAGATTTCAGACACAAGGAACTGGAGTGGTGCAGATTGATTCCGGGCCTCCAGAGACTGGATCCTTAATCCAGCATCTTTGACTGCTCGGCCACACTACCTGTCAAGCACGAGCAAAAACAGACGAGGTGGCCGAGTGGTTAAGGCGATGGACTGCTAATCCATTGTGCTCTGCACGCATGGGTTCGAATCCCATTCTCGTCGTTTGCCAATGAACACTAAATGTGTTTCCCTGCAATGTTTTTGAAATTCATATCAAGAATCACACAAAGATTCCTCATAGAATTTTAATTAGGTCATATTGTCCAAAACTCTCTGGGCACAGCATTGTGACTTGATCATTGTGGCTAGTCAATCTACAAGCATAATTCTCACATCGGATGCGAGAGAAGCCTTTTTCGTATCCTGGCCAAGCCTGATTAAAGTGTCATACCTCAGAGGAAAGTTGCGCTATCTCCTGTGCATTTTGATCTAGCGAGGTGGTACGATTGTGTGATTTTGGTTTTGATCAAAAGTAAAGTAAAAATCATGAAAAAATATAATATGTTAGATTTCAGACACAAGGAACTGGAGTGGTGCAGATTGATTCTGGGCCTCCAGAGACTGGATCCTTAATCCAGCATCTTTGACTGCTCGGCCACACTACCTGTCAAGCACGAGCAAACACAGACGAGGTGGCCGAGTGGTTAAGGCGATGGACTGCTAATCCATTGTGCTCTGCACGCATGGGTTCGAATCCCATTCTCGTCGTTTGCCAATGAACACTAAATGTGTTTCCCTGCAATGTTTTTGAAATTCATATCAAGAATCACACAAAGATTCCTCTGAGAATTTCAATTAGGTCATATTGTCCAAAACTCTCTGGGCACAGCATTGTGACTTGATCATTGTGGCTAGTCAATCTACAAGCATAATTCTCACATCGGATGCGAGAGAAGCCTTTTTCGTATCCTGGCCAAGCCTGATTAAAGTGTCATACCTCAGAGGAAAGTTGCGCTATCTCCTGTGCATTTTGATCTAGCGAGGTGGTACGATTGTGTGATTTTGGTTTTGATCAAAAGTAAAGTAAAAATCATGAAAAAATATAATATGTTAGATTTCAGACACAAGGAACTGGAGTGGTGCAGATTGATTCCGGGCCTCCAGAGACTGGATCCTTAATCCAGCATCTTTGACTGCTCGGCCACACTACCTGTCAAGCACGAGCAAAAACAGACGAGGTGGCCGAGTGGTTAAGGCGATGGACTGCTAATCCATTGTGCTCTGCACGCATGGGTTCGAATCCCATTCTCGTCGTTTGCCAATGAACACTAAATGTGTTTCCCTGCAATGTTTTTGAAATTCATATCAAGAATCACACAAAGATTCCTCATAGAATTTTAATTAGGTCATATTAAAGGTGAGTTCGAATCTAGCAGTGCCTTCATGAGAATCACTTTTTCTTCTATTTTGTCTCATGGTCTTGAAGAAACATTTTTGCTTTCGAAACCCTAAAAGATTGTTAGCACGTATCGGCACTGTGGCTTAGTTGGTTAAAGCGCCTGTCTTGTAAACAGGAGATCCTGAGTTCGAATCTTAGCAGTGCCTTTATGAAAATGGCTAATTCTTGTATTTTGTCTCATGGTCTGGAAGATCAATTTTTTCTTTCGAAACCCTAAAAGATTGTTATTACGTATTTGCGCTGTGGCTTAGTTGGTTAAAGTTACTGTATAGTAAACAGGAGATCCTAAATTTGAATCTTAGCAGTGCCTTTATGAAAATGGCTTATTCTTGTATTTTGTCTCATGGTCTGGAAGATACATTTTTGCTTTCGAAACCCAAAAAGATTGTTAGCACGTATCGGCGCTGTGGTTTAGTTGGTAAAAGCGCCTGTCTAGTAAGCAGGAGATCCTGAGTTCAAATCACAGCAGCGCCTTTATGAAAATCCCTTATTCAAGTATTTTGTCTCATGGTCTGGAAGATACATTTTTGCTTTCAAAACCCTAAAAGATTGTTAGCACATATCGCCGCTGTGGCTTAGTTGGTTAAAGCGCCTGTCTAGTAAACAGGAGATCCTGACTTCGAATCTCAGCAGTGCCTTTATGAAAATGGCTTATTCTTGTATTTTCTCTCATGGTCTGGAAGATACATTTTTGCTTTCGAAACCCCAAAAGATTGTTAGCACGTATCGGCGCTGTGGTTTAGTTGGTAAAAGCGCCTGTCTAGTAAGCAGGAGATCCTGAGTTCAAATCACAGCAGCGCCTTTATGAAAATCCCTTATTCAAGTATTTTGTCTCATGGTCTGGAAGATACATTTTTGCTTTCAAAACCCTAAAAGATTGTTAGCACGTATCGCCGCTGTGGCTTAGTTGGTTAAAGCGACAGTGTTGTAAACAGGAGATCCTGAGCTCGAATCTCAGCAGTGCCTTTATGAAAATGCCTTATGCTTGTATTTTGTCTCATGGTCTGGAAGATACATTTTTGCTTTCGAAACCCTAAAAGATTTGTTTGCACGTATCGGCGCTGTGGCTTAGTTGGTTAAAGCGACAGTGTTGTAAACAGGAGATCCTGAGCTCGAATCTCAGCAGTGCCTTTATGAAAATGGCTTATGCTTGTATTTTGTCTCATGGTCTGGAAGATACATTTTTGCTTACGAAACCCTAGAAGATTGTTATCACGTATCTGCGCTGTGGCTTAGTTGGTTAAAGTTACTGTATAGTAAACAGGAGATCCTAAATTCGAATCTTAGCAGTGCCTTCATGAGAATCGCATGTTCCTGTATTTTGTCTCATGGTCTGGAAGATACATTTTGCTTTCAAAACCGAAACGATTTTTAGCACGTATCGGCGCTGGTGCTTATTTGGTTATAGCGCCTGTCTAGCAAACAGGAGATCCTGAGTTCGTATCTTAGCAGCGCCTTCATGAGAATCGCTTTTTCTTGTATTTTGTCTCATGGTTTGGAAGAAACATTTTTGCTTTCGAAACCCTAAAAGATTGTTAGCAAGTATCGGCGCTGTGGCTTAATTGGTTAAAGTTGAGTTCGAATCTAGCAGTGCCTTCATGAGAATCACTTTTTCTTCTATTTTGTCTCATGGTCTTGAAGAAACATTTTTGCTTTCGAAACCCTAAAAGATTGTTAGCACGTATCGGCACTGTGGCTTAGTTGGTTAAAGCGCCTGTCTTGTAAACAGGAGATCCTGAGTTCGAATCTTAGCAGTGCCTTTATGAAAATGGCTAATTCTTGTATTTTGTCTCATGGTCTGGAAGATCAATTTTTTCTTTCGAAACCCTAAAAGATTGTTATTACGTATTTGCGCTGTGGCTTAGTTGGTTAAAGTTACTGTATAGTAAACAGGAGATCCTAAATTTGAATCTTAGCAGTGCCTTTATGAAAATGGCTTATTCTTGTATTTTCTCTCATGGTCTGGAAGATACATTTTTGCTTTCGAAACCCAAAAAGATTGTTAGCACGTATCGGCGCTGTGGTTTAGTTGGTAAAAGCGCCTGTCTAGTAAGCAGGAGATCCTGAGTTCAAATCACAGCAGCGCCTTTATGAAAATCCCTTATTCAAGTATTTTGTCTCATGGTCTGGAAGATACATTTTTGCTTTCAAAACCCTAAAAGATTGTTAGCACATATCGCCGCTGTGGCTTAGTTGGTTAAAGCGACAGTTTTGTAAACAGGAGATCCTGAGCTCGAATCTCAGCAGTGCCTTTATGAAAATGGCTTATGCTTGTATTTTGTCTCATGGTCTGGAAGATACATTTTTGCTTACGAAACCCTAGAAGATTGTTATCACGTATCTGCGCTGTGGCTTAGTTGGTTAAAGTTACTGTATAGTAAACAGGAGATCCTAAATTCGAATCTTTGCAGTGCCTTTATGAAAATGGCTTATTCTTGTATTTTGTCTCATGGTCTGGAAGATACATTTTTGCTTTCGAAACCCAATAAGATTGTTAGCACGTATTGGCGCTGTGGTTTAGTTGGTAAAAGCGCCTGTCTAGTAAGCAGGAGGTCCTGAGTTCAAATCACAGCAGCGTCTTTATGAAAATCCCTTATTCAAGTATTTTGTCTCATGGTCTGGAAGATACATTTTTGCTTTCAAAACCCTAAAAGATTGTTAGCACATATCGCCGCTGTGGCTTAGTTGGTTAAAGCGACAGTTTTGTAAACAGGAGATCCTGAGCTCGAATCTCAGCAGTGCCTTTATGAAAATGGCTTATGCTTGCATTTTGTCTCATGGTCTGGAAGATACATTTTTGCTTACGAAACCCTAGAAGATTGTTATCACGTATCTGCGCTGTGGCTTAGTTGGTTAAAGTTACTGTATAGTAAACAGGAGATCCTAAATTCGAATCTTAGCAGTGCCTTTATGAAAATGGCTAATTCTTGTATTTTGTCTCATGGTCTGGAAGATACATTTTTGCTTTCGAAACCCTAAAAGATTGTTATTACGTATTTGCGCTGTGGCTTAGTTGGTTAAAGTTACTGTATAGTAAACAGGAGATCCTAAATTCGAATCTTAGCAGTGCCTTTATGAAAATGGCTTATTCTTGTATTTTGTCTCATGGACTGGAAGATACATTTTTGCTTTCGAAACCCAATAAGATTGTTAGCACGTGTCGGCGCTGTGGCTAAGTTGGTTAAAGCGCCTGTCTAGTAAACAGGAGATCCTGAGTTCGAATCTCAGCAGTGCCTTTATGAAAATGGCTTATTCTTGTATTTTCTCTCATGGTCTGGAAGATACATTTTTGCTTTCGAAACCCCAAAAGATTGTTAGCACGTATCGGCGCTGTGGTTTAGTTGCTAAAAGCGCCTGTCTAGTATGCAGGAGATCCAGAGTTCAAATCACAGCAGCGCCTTTATGAAAATCCCTTATTCAAGTATTTTGTCTCATGGTCTGGAAGATACATTTTTGCTTTCAAAACCCTAAAAGATTGTTAGCACGTATCGCCGCTGTGGCTTAGTTGGTTAAAGCGACAGTGTTGTAAACAGGAGATCCTGAGCTCGAATCTCAGCAGTGCCTTTATGAAAATGGCTTATGCTTGTATTTTGTCTCATGGTCTGGAAGATACATTTTTGCTTACGAAACCCTAGAAGATTGTTATCACGTATCTGCGCTGTGGCTTAGTTGGTTAAAGTTACTGTATAGTAAACAGGAGATCCTAAATTCGAATCTTAGCAGTGCCTTCATGAGAATCGCATGTTCCTGTATTTTGTCTCATGGTCTGGAAGATACATTTTGCTTTCAAAACCGAAACGATTTTTAGCACGTATCGGCGCTGGTGCTTATTTGGTTATAGCGCCTGTCTAGCAAACAGGAGATCCTGAGTTCGTATCTTAGCAGCGCCTTCATGAGAATCGCTTTTTCTTGTATTTTGTCTCATGGTTTGGAAGAAACATTTTTGCTTTCGAAACCCTAAAAGATTGTTAGCAAGTATCGGCGCTGTGGCTTAATTGGTTAAAGTTGAGTTCGAATCTAGCAGTGCCTTCATGAGAATCACTTTTTCTTCTATTTTGTCTCATGGTCTTGAAGAAACATTTTTGCTTTCGAAACCCTAAAAGATTGTTAGCACGTATCGGCACTGTGGCTTAGTTGGTTAACCCTCACACTACCCTCGGGTCCCGGCGACCCGAGCGTAGGATTCCCCCTCACTCCCGCCGTCCTCGGGTCAACGGCTGGGTTAGATGCCGAGGTGGCGAGTTCGAGCCTCCCCAGGGGCGGTGTTTTTTTTTACCCTACCAGCACACAACCCTGGGAAGCAGAAAGGTCCATTGTCCAAATATTTTGCATTTATTTTTCATGCACACACTACACATTTCTGTCACCAGAGGATGATATCGTTGCCGTGCCACCGTTATCCCTCACACTACCCTCGGGTCCCGGCGACCCGAGCGTAGGATTCCCCTCACTCCCGCCGTCCTCGGGTCAACGGCTGGGTTAGATGCCGAGGTGGCGAGTTCGAGCCTCGCCCGGGGCGGTGTTTTTTTTTGCCCTACCAGATAATTATTAACAGCGATGATAATAATAAACCGATAACAGTGAAACACGCGCACGTTGTTGTATTTCGGCCTCCTTCTTTTTGCAATACTCTGAGGGCTGTGAAAAGAGATCGAGGGTCACTCTGACCCGCTCGACTCGGGCTGAGTACGCGACGCGAGGACAACGGCGGGGTTAGATGCCGAGGTGGCGAGTTCGAGCCTCACCCTGAGCTGTGTTTTTTTCACCCTCCCAGATAATTACTAGTAGCGATAATAATAATAAACCGATTACAGTGAAACACGTGCACGTTGTTGTATTTCGGCCTCCTCCTTTTGCAACACTCTGAGGGCTGTGAAAAGAGATCGAGTGTCACTCTGACCCGCTCGACTCGGGGTGTGTTGGCGATGCGAGGACAACACGAGGGTTATACAGCAATATGCATGGGCACAGTACGGGAGGTTCATTTTAGGGGGCGTTTTAAAATCCACACCCAAATTGGCACAGCACACAACCCTGGGAAGCAGTGTAATACAGACAAAGGAAATGTAAAGATGACTGTGTATTGTGAGTTCTTACAATTTGCACAATGTTCCATACTCTGCATACGTACAAGCTCTCTTGCCCTGCTCGCTGCCCTCTGGTCTCAGAAACACACTGTCCTTTGCTGGTCTCACTGTCCTTTTCTGTTCTCAGAAACACACTGTCCCTGGCCTTTCCCACAGTCTTTGGGTGTCAGAAACACGTTCTCCTCCCAGCTGTACTCGGGTGCCGGGAAACACAAGCTCTTTTTGCCCTGCTCGCTGCCCACTGGTCTCAGAAACACACTGTCCCTGGCCTTTCCCCCTGTCTTCGGGTGTCAGAAACACGTTCTCCTCCCAGCTGTACTCAGGTGCCAGGAAACACAAGCTCTTTTAGCCCTGCTCGTTGTCCTCTGTTCTCAGAAACACACTGTCCTTCGCCATCGCCGCTGTCTTTGGGTGTCAGAAACACGTTCTCCTCCCAGATGTACTCGTGTCCCTGGAAACATAAGCTCTTTTTGCCCTGCTCGCTGACCTCTGGGCTCAGAAACACACTGTCCTTTGTTGGTCTCACTGTCCTTTTCTGGTCTCAGAAACACACTGTCCCTGGCCTTTCCCACAGTCTTTGGGTGTCAGAAACA